TAAAGGGCGGGGTTCTAGAGATTCCAGGGGAGGGTCCTTGAAGACTGGGGCGTCTGGGGGGACGGCCAGGGAGGAGGAGCCTGAGCTGCACATTTTCTCTTCTGTCTCAGAGTTTTAAACCTCAAGGCAGTGCAGTCTCATGAATAGACAAATGAAGCAAAAGCCTCATCCCCCTTCCCTCTCTCCTCCCCTCCAGAGATACATGTCTCCCAGACTCTCCATGCACAGATAAACAGAAGCATAGCCCTGGGCAGTGTGGCTCAGTGGGTTGGGCATCATCCCACAAGGCGAAAAGTCACCGGTTTGATTCCTGGTCAAAGCACAGGCCTGGGTTGCAGATGCTCTCCCTGACTGGGGGGCGTACGAGAGGCAACTGATCTATGCTTCTCTCTCACACTGATATTGCCCTTCCTCTCTTTCTCCCTCCCTTACTTTCTCGCTAGAAATAAATTTTAAAAATTAAAAAAACCCACATACACATGGCAGGATGCTTAATAACCTGGTGGTGGGGTCAGGGGGGCAGTTATATGTACCAATTTCCCGGGTGCAATGCTCCCACTGCGGCTGATTACAAGCTACCGACACAACGGCTCTGAACAAGCATCTGGGAGCGGAGCTGCAGAAGCGACGGCCACATGGTATTTCCGCTGCGCAGGTGCAGCAGATGCCCGCACCTTTAAGGACGTAGATAACAGTACAATGCAGGGAAATTATTGGGAGGTGGTAAGCTGTGAGTGCTTATTACCTTTTAAAAATATGACTTAATTGCTCTGTAAGTTTATATAACTAATTTTTAGCAATGGCTGGGTTTAACAACTGGGTCACAAAATTTTGGAAAATTTTACGGTCACCTCTCATTAGCTAGCATAAGCCAGCTCCAGCAGCCCACTCGTTTCCTCTTTATTAAAACAGTAACATTCTCTGAATTTTTTCTTTAACTCACTTTATACTTAAGATTCTTTACCCAACAAACCGTCCATTCACCAGTATTGTACCGTGTGCCAGGTGCTGTGTTGGGGGCGCCGTACTTTGCCTTTGTTAGTTTCTGGTCCAGTGAGAGAGACGGTCAGTTACCAAATCCATAGGTGGAGAAGCAGCATCAATAACCAAAATGCACCTTGTAAGTAGGTCTCCAAAAAAGACGTAACAGGATGATGTCACGGAGAAAGCGCTGAGTGGAGGCAGGTGTGTGGAGGTCAGGGTGCGGCAGGGGAGAAACTTCTTGAAGTCCAGGCTAGGACAAGCCTCTTCTGAGAAGATGACAGTATCTGAGACTCCAAAAATAAAGGACCAGCCATGCAAAGTTCAGTGGGAAAGTGCGCAAAAGGATGGGTCCACTTAGGTACCATTCCCGTGAACTTTACAAACGTGCAGAACCAGCTCCGTACATTGTTTTTAGAACAGTCCTTGTAGAGTGGAGGTGGGGAGGCGCCCCAGCAGCTTCGGGATGGAGGTCACCCTGGGAGGGAAGGCGAACAGGAGGACGAGTGGGAGGCAGCCATGGTCTTCAACTACACCTCGGTACTTTCTTACGGCAGGAGAAAGGGGAGGTCTGGGACACACATGGCTGGCGGTGGTTTTCACCGGCTCTGGCTGATGGGCACCAGGCTATCAGCGGCATTGTTCTCTGTAATTTCTGGATGCTCGAGACAGTTCATGATCGTGATTTTTTTGAGAATAGGGGAGAAGAGGTTGTGGGCAGTGGACCTGACCAGAGTAGCCATTCACTCTGGGATCATTTTGGCTGCAGAAAAGTGAGGGGAGAGAGAGAGAGGCTCAAGAGCAGCTGGGGAGGCAGCCAGGGACCAGGTCATCGTGCAGGCTGTGATGTAAGTCCGAGTTTTATTGTGGGTGCAGTGGCTGCCCCCTTGAGCTGGAGAGTGACAGGATGGGATTTGCGCTGGTAAAGGATTCCTCTGGCTGCTTTGAGGGGAACTGGTGGAGAGTTAAGAAATGGTATCGGGGAGGTTAGTTCAGATCTCTTGTCATCTAGATGGAGCTGATGGTGGCCCGGGACTCGGGGAGATGCAAGAAGCATCGGAGAGGAACATTTTTGAAATCTGGTTTGAAGGATTCGCTGAGGGATTAAATATGGGGTGGGGGGTGTGGAGGAAGGGAGGGTGACTTCCTTTTTCTAAAAACCCATTTTATTGAGATATATTTTACATACCATAGAGTTCTCCCATTTAAAGTATATCACTCAGTGGTTTTTGGTAGGCATGATTTTCTTTTTAAAGCCTGAGCGAATGGTGGTTTCTAATTCTGTGATGGGGAGAATGAGAGATGTACAGGCTTAGGGGTGAGGCCCGAGGGAAGTTTGAGATGCCCGTGAGCCATCCAAGGGGGAATGGGATATGGGAAATTAGATATTTACATCTGGAGCTCGAAATAAAATATTGTGACTAATGAATGATTTGAGAGTCTTGGAATAAATGTGAATATCCATAGAAAGAGTACAGGTAGAAAGGTGTGTGGGGAGAGCAAGGGGACCCTCAATCCAGGTGGACTGAGAGTTCGTGCTTTGAGCCCCAGCCCATTCTGCCAACCAACAAACATACTGCAGTGAGAGACCCAAAAAAGAGAGAGAGAGAAATGCAAAGTGATCACAGAGCTGAAAACAGAGGACTACAGGGCTCCGGTCTGGAGCAGGCAGGGCGGTGGTGAATTTTAGCTCCTCTAGGGCAACGTGAACTAGAAGTGCCCCATGTGAGGCGGAGAGTGGAGCTGCACTGGCTGCTTCAAATACAGCGAGGGAGAGAGAGCTGGGCAGATAGACTCCGACTCAACATGAACCTTCAAGTGGAATGAATCTCCAAACTAATGAAGAAAACTAATGTAAAAAAGACAGTCTCCAAAAGTCAATGACAAATGAATTCACTCTAATTACAATAAAAGTAGTGGCGTGTTCTAAAAACAAATTTAAAATAACTGTTTAGGGTCTCTATCAGGAGTAGATTGGACTGCGTGTAACTGAGATTCAAAATAACAATGGCTCAAGCAAAATAAGAATTAAGTTTCCTTTTATGAATATATTCTCGTGAGGTGGCTCTGCCCGATCCAGTCCTCAAGGAACAAAGCTGGATCTGGCTCATCCTAACTCAAGGCTTGAATTATCCTCAGAGCCCAAGTTGGTAGTTAGACCTCCAGCCATCACGTCTGCATTCCAGGCAGCAGGGTGGTAGCAGCGCATGTATCAGCTGTCTTTTGAAAAAGTTTTCAGGAAGCTGACACACGGCACTTTCATCTACATTCTATTGGTCAGAACTTAGCTAGAGGAGAAGCAAAAAATGTATTCTGTTACTGTAGGTAGCCAAGTGTCCAGTTATAATTCAGGGGGTTTGTTACAGTGGGTGCAGGGGATAATAATAGATAATGAGAGATAATTAGCAGTCACAGCCTGAGGATCCCCACAGAAATAAAGGAAGGAGAACATCCATTAAAAAGATCAAGACGGGAGAGGGTATTTTTTATGTGTTTGTTTGAATCGAAAACCTCTGTTCTTATAAAGACATCATTAAGAGAATGAATGAACAAGCCAAAGGCTAGGAGAAAATATTTGTAAATCATATCTATGGTAAAGGAATTGATTCCAAAATGTATTTTTAAAAACTCTCAAAACTCAATAGCAAGGAATAAATCCACACTTTACAAAACGGGCAAAAGATCTGAACAGACGCGTCACTGAAAAAGATATGCAGCTAACACGAGATTACAGGGCCCCAAGGGAACTCTGGGGGTGATGGACACGTTTGTTTTCCTGATCGTCATAACAGATGTACACATCTGCCAGGACGTACTAAGGGGTGCGTGATATGTCAACCACACGTCAATAAAGCTGTTAGAAAAGGAAAAGAGATGAACGTAGCATGAAACAAAAAGGCAAACTGAGAAAAGATGGATGTGAAAAAGAACCAGTTAAAAATTCTTTGAAAAGTATTAATTGCATTAAAAGTACCCAATAGAAAGGTAGAACTCAAAGAAAGGTACTCAAAGAAAGGAAGAACCTCTACAGCTGGACAAACTCTGAACTGGACATAGTCAAAGAAAGAATTAGTGAATTGGAAAAGAGTTCTGAGAAATTTTCCCAGAGCACTCACTACCCCGGAAGAGAAAGAGAGAGAAATGTGAAAGGGTGATTAAAAGACATGGAGAATAAATTGAGCTGCTCCCAAATATATTTGATAGAAATTCTTCAAGAAGAGACTGGAGAAAATGACCAAGGAACTATACTCAAAAGCATAATAGCTGAGAAGTTTTCAGAATTAAAAAAGAGATATGTCCTATCAAATAATATGCTCATCAAGTAATGTGCAAAAAGTTTAAAAGTATATCTCTACTTCAAAACCATACAGTGAAAGGGCAGATCAAGAATAAAGAGAAAGCCTTAAAATTTACCATAGACAAATTGTCCACAAAAGCACAGCATTAGACAACATCAGAGGGTTGCTGAAGAGCTCATGGCAGCGGCAATCTTCAAAAGTGCTGAAAGAAAATAAAACTGAATCTGCCTAAAATGTTGTACCCAGCTGAGGTCTGATTCAAGAGTGATGATGAAATAATGACAATTTTACAGAAGATAAAGGGGCTCAGCCCAAACCAAACCCTGAGGGTCCCAAACGTTCAGAGATCTGGGAGAAGAGGAGCCCTCTCAAACCACGGATGTCTGTATGTCTAGCCACCAGTGCTGGCCTCTGTCTCCCACAGAGATGAGAGGGAGGGAGGGGGAGAAAGAGAGAGAAAGAGAGAGAGGAAGGAAGGGAGGGAGGGAGAAATGAAGAGAAAAAAGAAAAGGGAGAAAGAGGCTGGATTTTACTGTGTGGCCCAAGCTTGGTTTCAGCCCTGCCCCAGTGCTGACACTGTGGCCGAGGGCAAGAGGAAGTTTCTGTGCGGTAGCAGGTGGGGCCAGGCCCTGGGCCCTGGGCCATGGTCTGGGGAGGAGCCCCATAATATGAGAGCCCCCTCCTGTATGGCCTATTCTAGACTCTCTCTCCGTCTTCCAGATCGTGGATAAGAACAACCGCTACAAGTCCATAGACGGGTCGGACGAGACTAAAGCCAACTGGATGAGGTGAGTCCTGCTCTCTGCTGATCGCCCTGGAGCCTGGCCTGAACTCTGGAGAGAGGCCAAGGGAGCACACCGGGCCCCCCAAGACCCCGGGACTGCTGTTTGCAGGGTTCGGGATGTGTCTAGCTCTAGGCGACCCTTTAGCTTCCCCAGGCTTCCATCAGGGGGCTCTGGAGGAGGCCTGCGGCCAGACACGTGCGTTACAGGGACCCCTAGAGACTGCACTCTTCTTAGTATGTCTGGAATACCCGGGCCCCGGCCCTTGGCCCCTGGCAGCATTCCCACACAGGGGCTGCCCCTCCCGGGGGACCGTGGCACTGCTCACAGGGCAGGCTCCTGCTGTGGTGGGTGCAGGACCCACCCGGGGCAGCCACAGCAGTGTAAATGCCCTCCGTGGAGGAGAAGGTTTCTGGCACAATCTCACTCAGTCCCCGACGGTGCTTGCGGCCCAGGCGTGAGCACTTTCCAGAGTGGTTTTACTGTGGTCCAGCGTTGGGACAGAAGTTAGCACCAGAAGGACCCTTCGTGGCCAGCCGGGGAGAGCAGGAGACTGGCCAGGGTCGCTCAGAAGCTGAGCTGAGCTTGGACTCCGAAGGCTCCCCTTTTGGTTCTGTGCTGCTGGTCTGTGCCATAGGCCAGGGCCCTGCTGGTGTCTGGGGGTGGGGGTGGCAGGTCAGATTTGCCTTGTTGCCTTTTTGGTGGCCTCTGTCTGGGACTTGGGAGTGGTGACTGGGGTCTGGGTCTGGGCTGGGAGGGAAGGCAGGCCTCAGATGGCTGGACCCGGGGGCACTGCCATACCGTGGATCGGGCCCTCTGGTTGGTGTCCTGTAGTTCTGTGACTCATGGAGACAAGTGGGGGCGGGGGGGGACTGTGCTCGCAGGGAGGGCAGTGAGGGTTTGCTGTGTTTAAACTCTGAGACTTCCCAAGCCAACGAGGAGAAAATCGGTTTGAGGCAGGGAGGCTGTGGCATTGCCTCCCGTCCCCTTTTCTGTGGCTTCATTGCCCACCGTGCTCTCACCTGAGAGCCTCAGCCACGCCCAGAATGTGGCTCTGGGAAGGCACCCACAGTCCTCACTGCCTCCTCCTCCCGACCGCGTTACTGAGCACCTGCGGGGGGTCGGAGCAGGTTTGGCACCTCACCCTCCCAGGCCTCCAAGGCCTCATACCTTCCACCACGGAAACTGCTTTTTCTGAAACAGTTGTTGAGTGGAGGCACGAACTGTGGGCTGCGAGGGCCCGGATGAAAGGTGGGAAGGGGGCCTTTGGACTGAGCCTTCAAAGGGGCCAGATTTTTCTTTGAAGGCACAGTGAGCAAAGACTCAGAAGTGGGGACCACGTGTCCAGTGGGCCAACAGATGGCCTCTGGCCTGGGCCCCTGGGCCCTGTTGCCACATTATGGCTGTCGGCAAGCGAAGGAGAGTGTCTGAGAGCTGTCTGGTGTCAGGCCTTTCTGAACTGTCACTTTCAGAAACTTTGGCCCATACAGCTGATTCTGTTCCACTTTCGCACCCACCTCTGGTCTTTCAGCCTGGGAACAAGGCCTCACTACAATTCCAAAGAAGGGGATTCATCATCTGAGCCAAGTGACCAATCATCTGGCACCCCACACTCTGTTTCACTTGGGCTGGAATTAAGCCCAGGGCACTGGTGTCTTTAAAGCTCTCCGTAGTAGTTCTGATGTGCCACTAGTGTTGGCAACTACCGCTCTGCTGCTGCAAAGCTCCAGGGGTAAACTGAGGTCCAGAGCAAGTGAAGGTGATGCACTCAGTGGTGGAACCCGGGCTGCTGCAATGGCGTTCCTTCTGCTTGTGCACAAAAGCATGGTTTCCTGAGCCTCAGGTGGGGTGGGTTCTGTCACCACTACCTCGCTGGCATGGGGTCTGTCCTGTTCCTGCCCCAGGCCCATTCTGCTCCAAAAAGACGCCGAGGCAGTCACAGCTGCAGGGCCCTCATTCATTAAAGACTCAAGGAGTAGGTGGGCTGGGCCTGTGGTTCGTTGCCATGGAGATGCCCCTCTGGTGGTAGTGGGAGGGGAAAGCCAGTTCTTCCTCCTTCCCCCTGAGTGCGCAGCTGCCATTTGCACAGCTTGTTGTCATTTGCAGACACCAGTCACTTGCACTGTCACAGCCTAGGGTCTTGTAGGAGATCGAAGGGAGTCAGTTTTTTTCAAATAATAAGTGGGCCGGGAAGAGAATGGCACTCACAGAAGGAGCGCGGACTCAGTGGCAGCCGTCAGCTGGGTGTTGTGCATTCATGAAATCAGTGATCCCTGCCCGGGGGCTGTTTTGCCCCCTGAGGGTATTTGGCAGTCTCTTGGGGCATGTTTGGCTGTCACATCTCTATGGGTGGATGCTACTGGGCTCTCTTGGGCAAGAAGCCAAGGTGCTGATAAACCTCCTACATTCTGCGAGGACACCGCCCCCCGCCCCACCCCTACCCACTAAACAAAGAATTTTTCAGCCCCAAATGCCAACAGTGGCAAGATTGAGACAGCCCTGCACGCAATCCTCCTGGCGGCCCTGGGAGGCGACACTGGAACCACCGCCCTTGTTTTACAGAAATGGGTTTGCAGGGGAGACTCGGCCTCTAGCCCCAGGACTGTCCGAGTGCCAGGCCCAGGCCGGGTCTTGCTCTTCTGCCTCCGCCTTGCCTCTGGGGTAGCGGTGTTCGGAGGGACGTGGGGAGGAGGGGAGAGGTGAAGCGTCTCTCTGCTCCTGGCCACTCACTGAAGTTTTGGCAGCCGTCAGAGACATGAATCAGGTCCCAGTTCTCCCTCCATACCCTGGGTCCCTGTCTTGGGTGGACCTTTGGGCACTGGTTGCAGGGTAGACAGAACCACACCGTGGACACTGAGTTCCAGAGCCAGAGCAGGTACTGGGTCAGAAGCGGGGAAGGGCCACGCTGCCCCCTTGGCTAAGGCCCCTGGCTGCTCCCTGCCCTTGAAAGCCGAGTTCTCCCCTGGTCTCCCCTGAAGTGGAGCTTGCCTTCCAGTGGGCGCTCATGGGCTCCTCACATTCTACCCATAAGCTGCCAAAAAGCCACGCCAGCTGACTCCCAAAAGGAGCAGCTGCCGGCCAGCACTCCAGTTGGAGGGGAGCCTGCACACACCCAGAGGTGGGCACCTGGTGGGGACTTACAGGCAGGGGATGGAGAAGAGAGCTGTTGGACAGAATAAGCTCTCCGTGACCATTCCCTAAGTCTGGGCGTCCCCAGCAAGGCCACACACCATGGATGCCATGTGAATCGTCTCCCTGTTTAATTATTCTTCCTCCAGGCCATTTATAGGGGCAGCGGCCTAACCCTCACCCCAGGAGTCAGCCTTTGTTTCTGTTCTGGGCTTTAAAGCTCTTTTACATATTTCAGCTCCCCCCAGCCCCTCCTTAGTAAGAATCCCCTAGGCTGGTGTGGTTGTTATTCCCTTTCTGGATGGAGAGAATGGGCCAGGCCCGCACAGCTAGTCAGACGGCCTGGAGCTGGAGGTGGGGGGCTCAGTCCAGCGCCCCCGCCGTGCGCGTGCTGCGTGGCCTCCTGCGTTCTCAGCAGTGGTGGAAGGACCTCTCGGCAGGAGGAGGGTGTGGCGGTGGTGAGCTGCTGAGGGTGCCCAGGTGCCTCCTGGCTCCCCAGCTGGGGGCCGGCATTAGGAAGGAGGAGGACCACCCACGTTGCCGGGCATTTACCCAATTGTGCTTTGTGGGATATTCAACCCAAGGAATGTGGCACCCCTGGCCGAGCGTAAGCGGAAGCCCAAGTTCTCCAAGGAGGAGCTGGACATTCTGGTCACCGAGGTGACCCGCCACGAAGCTGTTCTCTTTGGGAGGGAGACCATGCGGCTGTCCCATGCCGACAGGGACAAGATTTGGGAAGGCATAGCTCGGAAAATCACCTCCGTGAGCCAGGTCCCCCGCTCCGTCAAGGACATTAAGCACAGATGGGATGACATGAAACGGAGGACCAAGGACAAGCTGGCCTTCATGCAGAAGTCCCTGTCTGGCCCTGGGGCCGGGGGCCGGGCCCCCACCATCACACTCACTGCCCACGAGAGGGCCATCGAGTCGGCACTGCTCTCGGCCCGTTCTGGGCACCGCTTCCCCAGGTCCGAACTGGATGGCACCGACAGTCCTTCGACCAGCTGTGAGTACCTCCACCGCCCCCCCCAGCTCCTCCCGACACTCCCTGGCCTCCTCCTTGGCAGGTTCCCCCTCATTCGCCTTCTCCTTCTCTCCCTGTCTCGCCCATCTTCCCATTCTTCCCTCCTTGTCCCACTGTCTCCTCCACCCCTTTCCGTTCATTCATTCTAGAATGTTTCCTGAACACTGCGCCAGGAGTTGTGTATAAATTCTACACCGGCCTTGCTCTTGGGGAGTTCCGAGACTCGTGGGAATAGACTAACTTTAAGTAAATAATTGCACAAGGAAATTTGTAATGAAGGACTGAGGGACCAGCACAGGAAATCCCGAGAGCTGAGTTCATAGGGGTGTGACCTATGCCATCCCTCGGGCCCTGGGCTCCGTGCTGGGCTAAATGCTCTGCTGGTCCCTGCCCGATAGTTTTTGAACAAGGTGCCCTGCACGTTCATGTTGCATCTGGCTCTGAAAATGCTGTAACGGCCTGTCTGAGAGCACACAGTGGTGGGACAGGCTCTCCCCCAGGGGCTGGGGAAGGGTCCCGGGAGAGACAGCTGAGCCGGGATGCACAGGATGAGTAAGAGTTAACCAGGCCGGTGACTGCGTGGGGTGCAGAGGAGGGGAGGCGAGAGGAGCGCCTCACAGGCAGAGAACAGCATGTACAAGGCCCCGCATCAGGAAGACGCTTGGCACGTTCCAGGAACAGAGAGGAGCCAGGGAAGCCCAATGGAGCAGGCGAGGGGGAGGGGGCGCCGGAGGAAGCCGGCCAAGTCTTCAGGGCCCAGGCCATGGAAAGATCAGTTCTCTCTCCCTCTGTCTACTCCTAACATCTTTATTTCTGTGTTCTCTTCTGCTCTCTTTGCCATGCTGCCTTCTCT